TATATATATATATACATACACACACACACATACATACACACTAGGAATGTGCGATATAAACGGTATACGGTAAAAACGATAGAAATTTAGCCTACAATAGAGATCCGTCTTCTACCGGCTAACCGCAGTAATGCTGTGTCTGAAGTAAAATCAGAGTTGTCAGTTTAATCGTTACTTTTTTTAGTTGAAAACTGTGCGCAAGTGGCGTTAAAGTCTTTTCTTCTAGGGCTAAGTAGCGAAGCTACAAGCTAACTACAGCCGGCTTGCCGTAGTGTTGCCGGATTCGGACGCATGCGCAAAACGTTGTGTTCCGTCGAAAGTTTTTTTTTTTTTTCCCCATCGAAAGTTAAAGTAAGCATTGGTCAGCTTTAGAGAAACCTGCTCTCTGATCTGTGAAAAGAACGCTGTGTTGTGTGATTTTACTGTCAAAGCCACAGACTCATTTTGTGTCAGCTCTCCATTAAAGCAGGTGGCGCCAACTAGAGGTTTGGAGGGTGAAGTGTTTCAGTGTAAAATGCTGCTCTGTTGCTGTTCATTTCTTAAGTAAGACTGGAAACTGTTAAGAGGTAACATCATATTCTTCTGTTTAAAACATATGGCCAAAACTACATTTGATATATTGTGCATTGTTTTGCACTACAAGAAAGACGCCCAATACTTGATTTGTTTATTATTTAAAAACTCTCTGGACCTAGTAATGGAATTTTCTTAATTCAAAATATATGATGGCAAAAGGACACGCGATGCTTTTTTTTTAAAGCAAGTTTTATATCAAAAACATATTGTGCTATATATCGTTATCGCCACCCTTCACAATACATATCGTGATATGAATTTTATGCCATATCGCACGTTCCTAATACACACACACATATATATATATATATACATATTACTGTGTCAAAACTTGGGATAGAGCTCACGGAGATAAGAAGCAACATTTTCAATTTATCGTAATTATGGTAATTTTCTTCCATATATTTTTGGGAGTCTACTTCAGCAGACGTTCAGCAGTTTTTACAATGTGAATATCAAAACGTTCAGCTAATTCAGAAAACAAGTGACATTCTCAAGTTTACCTTTTATACTTTTTAAAATAATTTAAACATTTTAAATATTAATTAAATGTAGCTTTTAATGTTTTATTTCTATTTTCTGCTTTTAGTTACTGGTGGCTGCTAGTTTTACTTGTTAACTACGGTTTTGCTGATTTCGATTTTTGTTGGTTTCCCTCATTTTAACTTTTCGCTACTTTTGCATTAATTTTACCTTTTAGCTGCAGTTTTTCTAACTTTAGTTTAAGCTACTAGTGTGCTAAATCTTTTACCTACAGATCAACAAAGTTTAGTTTTTAAACATCTGTGTTGCTGGTTTTTGGTTTTAGCTACTGTACTGTTGTGCTAATCTTAGATTTTAGCTACGGCTTTGATGGTTTTAACAATCAGATTATGCTGATAAATGATTATTTCAACATACAATTTACCATAAATCTTCCTTTATCAGGAATAAAAACAAAGATTTTTATAAGGGTTTAAGTCAGATATACAAGAAGTTCCTGTAAGTTACTGAAAATAAATCTCCAATGATTACATCATGTCCAGAAACAGCGGATAATGAGAAATCATCTCTGGCTGAGGATTGCTGTCCAATGAGATATTACCAAGAGGCTGAGGCAGCTTTGCTATGCTGAACACACTTTTTCCACTGTTGAGCCCAACATATTAGTACAGACTGAGTTTATTACTTCAAGCAACTGTGAAACAAATTACAAGCTTGAACAGTTAGTCCAGTAATGTACAAAAATATAATTCAAGATTTCAAGAAAAGAGTGCAGATGAGTCTACCTCACACAAGAAGAGAAATGAGACTGAACATGAGAAAATAAATAAAATGTCAGATTAAAAATAGCAGTTTCAAGAACATTAAAGAGGAAGAAGGGTCACAACAGTAATGTCTTCGAACCCTTCCCCCAACCAATCCAACCAGTGGTCCACTGCTGACAATGGGTCTCCGTCACACAGACAGTCTGAACCAAAATACAAAAGAAAGCCCAAGAAACCACGGGGACACCCAACAAAAGTACTTGATGACAGGGAAGACATTTAAAAATGTCTCACAGGATTAAACTACTGGGCTGTGTCAAACAAGAAAGCTTTCTTCTTTCTAGCTTTGGTGAGAATATGTGTTAAAAATAAACACGTTTAGCTAGGAAACCCCCTAATAAGATGACTAGTTGATGTTGCTCACCTTGAAATTGCTGGCGTTTATCCATCCCGTCAACTCGTCGATGGTTTTGTCCAGCCGAGACTTGTCCTGCTCCACGTCCGGGGAGCGCTGCGGGTCGTTCAGGTAGTCAATCAGGTCCTGGCCAACCTGCAGTCTGCGAGTTACGTCTTTCTGCAGCACCTGCTGGTAAAAATAGTCCATGTTGTCATGGTCCTCCATCGGGCACTCAGTCCCGTGTGGCCAGCCACTGAAGCCGGCCAAAGATAGGAAGCAAAGGTCGGCGGGAAGGGGTATGGAGAAAACTCAAAAAATGTGAATTGTAGCTTAGTTAAGGAGCAGAGTGAGGGTTCCGTTTGAACTGGGTTCAACCGAGATTTGATCATCAAGATGCAACCCCTTTAAAAAACGACTTACTCTCAAGAATCACCCCCCTCAGCCCAAATCTAAAGCCCGATTTTTGAACGTTGCGACAACTATGCCGTAGCCCGCCGTTTAGAAGTTGAGCTCAAAACTCGACGAAACTTCAGGAAACGTGCAACTGCAGTTGACCCAGGCAGGTTTGGTTAGTATATCTACATTAAAACTAACTAGCAGCCCTATTTACTATCTGTTATGCTAACAATAATAGCATCAGGCTAGTTAGCAGAGTGACCCATACAAATAGCTCCACATCGGCTAACGTAACCTGCTAACGTTGATGTTTATCCGCAGGCCTATCTATCGCCTGGTTCCGCTCCGTACTTCAACTTCATGACCCCGGCTTCAGTCCATGAGAAAGTTCCAGAAAACCACCAAAACAAGATCTCGGCTCCAATTCGCCGGTAACGGGTTCACTTTAATCCAGTAATAATAACCACAGCTACAACTAAAACCACTGAGAGCTGCCGAGACTCTCTCAGGACGTTGACGAACCAGTGTTGTGCCGAAAAAAGTACCCCATGCCTTTACACACCCCTTCGTGAAGTCGCGTGAAAGAGCCATTTGTATTCAATAATAAAAATGAAAGAAAAAATGCGACAAGCGAATCTGTGTCTTAGTCGTTACACTTATAAACGCACATCTACTGCTTTTTTTTTGTTTGTTTAATATTCAAAACCATATATGAATTGGTCACACAGGTGTTTTTAAGGCAGGTTATGCTGCCACGGTATGAATTTTCCAGAAAAATGTACCATTGCTCTGTAGTAAGGAACGGTTACGGATAGTGTAAATTTCGAGGCTGTAACTTTTTTTTTACCGATATAAGCAGTGGTACAATATCGTAAATTTAGATAATTGTGTCCCTAAAGTACTGAAAACCAGGAGTTTTATTATTATTATTATCCTATTATTAAATATACAGATGAAAACAAGCGTCTCAAGAAGCGCTTCCCATAACGGAAGTGCTTTTAATGGCAAGGGTGCTTTTTTCGACTCAACATCGAAGACTGCAGTTTACCGGCGGAGCACCGCACAGTTGGCCAACTTAGTGCCTAATCAAAAATAAAATACATTTATTCACGACGAATTACTTATAAATATAAACGATGTTAAATAATGTTTTGACAATAGTTATAAGTGAATATGTTTTAATTTGATTAAGAACAAAAAGATTGTTGGTGTGGCCGTGTCTGCTAAATGAACACGGCGCTTTGGTGACATCTAGATGCGGAACTGCCGCAGTTTACTGTAAAATATGCCCATAAGTAAATAAAGCTCATCATAGAAACAAAACACGTTTACTAGTATTAGTCATCTTTATTTATTCGTTTAATTTTCACGTATTTCTTTATTTCCTTAAACATAAACCTGTTAAAACGGTTGTCAAACAGAGGACATTAGTTTCACAACCAGTCATGTCAGCAATCATCTGAGCATTTTCTTATTCTTTACATTCTCTTGTAGTTTCAGTCCTATCCATTGCCCTGCCACTCTCCTAATTCTTAAAGCACTTGGCACTATAATAATACCTCAAGTTGCATTACTTTGTCTTTTTAAGCTTTTTAAGTTGTGGTAAAAAGGGAATGTCTTTAAATAAGTCATCTTGATTAAATAAATATTAAAATTCTTCACTTTATTTGAGCAAAATAAATTGATTCTAGGGCTCTACTTTCACTAAATATAACTCTGTTCCTGAATGTTCTGTACTGACAAAGTCATTTGTTAATAAGTATTTTAACCAATATGGCTGACAGATTTCAACAGATGTGTAAAAGTCTATTAATAATTATTCTTGTGCTGCTCAGAGTCTGAAGGACTGAGAAAACAAAACCCAATTCATAATCTCTTACAGCATACATAAACCGACAATTGCACATTTCTATTCTAAATAAACTTTAAATACATAAAACCATGTGATTGTCAAATACTTGAGGTGTCTTTACTCAGTCTCATACCCAATATCTTAGACCTGTGGAGATTTGTTTTTCACATTTGAAGCCATTGCACAAGCCATTTAGAAATGTAAACAAAGGCTAAGTGGTCAAGTAGGAGATAGCTGACAGGGCTACCGACAGGACTGGATCAGGGCCTACAAGTCAACTGGACCAAAAAATTCACGAGTGCCTATTGTCCCCAAAACATTTAGTGCCAACTGAATATTTCTGACCCTCAAGGTCTGAATCATAGGTCCTTTTTTGTGAAACAGCAACAGTTTTTTCTTTACATAAAAAAGACAAGCATATGCCCCTCTCTGAGTGGACAGGCATGGACAATTACAATAAGCACTGGAAATAAGAAAACAGTTTTCAATGGCCTTATTAGATTTTTGAACGAGTGGTTCTGTGTTGTACTTTTTTTTAAACATTCTCTGTACAATCAGAATTAAAATCTCCACAGTTGTTTTGTCTTCTTTTTTTTTTTTGTCTTCAGATGAACAAATATGTTACATGTCCTGTTTTGTACTTCTTGTCTGTCCAAAATCCTCTAGACTGCAGTCTTGAGCCGGCTGTGACAAAGCTTCACTGGAGATCTGCATTTCCCCCACAGCCCAGCTCCGTGTCCATTGGTCAAAGTAGACTGAATCACAGGATGGTCACAGAGAGGTGTCATGTGATTGGCTGAGATGATAACTCCACAGAGGCCTGCTTTCCAAGATGATCATATTTTTTTTTTGTTTGTTTGTTTGATCCATAGTCTATCAGCAGCAGACCATTTGCAGTCTTTTAAACCCAAAGGGGCATCAGGGGTGTGAGGCAGTATGTAGTGGAGAGCCAGTTGTCATTTTTTAAGGATAAAGGGGAGAACAAGACAGAGAGAAAAAGAAAGTCCATTCATTCCTGTCTCTTTCCTCAAACCTCTCTGCAGCTTAAACCCAAACTGCTGTAACGCTGGTTGATGAAGAAGAAAGAGAAGAGGTGGTATGGACAGATCGGGGATCAGTGGCATTCAGTCTGGATAATGATCAGTGATTAGGAGCAGTGAGCGGGTCCAGCCCCTCCTCTCTCCTACGCCACCTTCCCAATCTCCTCTCACTCCACCTTTTGAATCAGGCCCGATCAGAGCAGCAGGACCTGTAGACAGAGGTGGCCCCCCCTGGCCCTCCACTGTCAGAGGATGATGCAGCAGCGGCACAGACGCTGGCCACCTCCATGTACAGAGGGAGGGGGCGTTACAGGGGCAAAGTATGCATGCACCTTGATCTCTGGAAGCTGCGCCTGTGCAGAAGAGATGCATTTAGTATTAAAAAAAAAAAATAAACTCAAGATTTATGAAAGCTTTTTTGTAAATATAACTATGAACATGTATTAGAGTGGACCTAACTGTAATTAGAAGGACTGATGTTTTAATAATTTAGCACACTTCAAAGTAGCTTTTTATCTTATTTAACTCTTGTTTTTATACAGTGGCATAATTTTTCCATTGCTTACCCTGATGCGTTTGATGCCAGCCCTGGTGACTTGTTGACAGTCGTAGAGCTCAATGCGCTCCAGGCGATGGCAGTTCTTCAGGTGCTCCAGGGTCACGTCGGTGATAAGGGGGCAGTTGTCCAGCTCCACCACCGTGAGGCGCTCTTGACCACAGGCACTACTGCTCAGTGCCCTGATGCCGTCATCTGTGATGAGTTCGCAGTGGGACAGGGACTGAACGCAACAGAGAGACTTGTTGAAGATGCTCGAATGAGCAGCACAAACTCAAACCTTATAGGTGAGAATGCTCACCAGCGCTTGCAGCTGCGGGCAGTGGATTGACAGCTGAACCAAAGTGTTGTCTGTCACCTGAAGAGAGGACAACACTTGATTAGTGAATTGGCCTCGCATGACTTGGGACCGCTGAGAGGCTTAGTCCTCAATGTGGGGTAATGAGTTGTATAACAATATTCTAAATCCAGCGTTCTCATCTTCTCTGCCTTCTGATTCAAATGCTACACAACTGGATCACTAACTGTCTTAACAGGAAACACACTCTTATCAACACTCTTATTACGTCAGCCTTCTTCCCACAATATGACCTCTTTTCAGACAGATAAAAGCCACAAACAATTCCAAACTCATCTCAAATATACAGCAACAACATCACAGATTCACTTACCAAAATACATTCTTCTAAGTCCATTTTTTCAAGTTCATGGCAATTCTGTGAGGATAAACAGAAAGATGGGTTTGTGACAAGAGCATCCAATTTGCCTCAAAAAACAGAAAGGAGAATGAGATGATTAGCCTCATGATAAGCTTACAGAAGACAGACAGCAGAATAAAACTCACCCTGGCGAGCATTGTGAACCCAGCGTCTGTAACATGGGAGCATCGTGCAGCTTCAAGGATTCTTGGAACACAGAAAAAATAAAATGAGGGAAACCACATGAAGCAACAACACATGGTGTCAGCATATGGGAATATTTTTAGTAACTCTTAAAAGTTGGGAGAGGTGTGCTTCTTACTTGAGCCGAGGACAGTTAAGTCCCAGTGCAGTGAGAGAGGCATCAGTGATGTTGCTGCAGCCGGACACACAGATGATCTGCAGCTTGTGGCATCCCCGGCACAGACTGACCAGGCCTTCATCTGTTATTTGCTGGTGGCATGAGATGCACAAAAACAAATGACAACAGCACGCAGACATGCAAACACTTCCCTTGTGCATTGCTGATCATATCTCCCTCCTGAAAGGCAACAATCAAATGTTTGTCTTACTGTGCAAGACTGCATGTTGATGGTGGTGAGTTCAGGGCAGTGCTTCTGTAGGTGTTTCAGAGCTCCATCGTCCAGCTGGGGTGAAATAAAAAACTTGTTTCTATTAAAAGGTACAGGTTGCATTTTTAAATGATGGATAAAAGACACAAAATGTCAAATTGTTTTCCAAAAATCCGAGGATCCTTTACTTTGTTCTTCTGTTCTCCTAATCAGATTATTTAATGGTCTTATAAGATGTAGCAACAACATTTGGGTGAGGAAATGAAATAATAACCTTGATAAAATTTCTCTACACAGGCAACAGAAAAAGAAAATTGTGGCTTTAGATAAGTCACTTTATAAAAATATGTAATATATAATGAGACAAAAAGTGTGTGTGTGTGTGGGGGGGGGGGGGGAATCACACATTTCCTTTTCTGATATTTCTTTTCAGCACAAGTAAGTGTGCAGTACGGGGTAAATTCATCTTTATTAAAAAAATTGTAGGTATTTTTTCAACGTTTGCTGTTGTTTTACCAATTAGTTTTACATTTTTTTTTTATTAATATCGATGAAAGTATCTCATCAGGACATAAACCATATTTATAAAAGGTGAGACTTCTACTGTGTCTGCTTCCCTTTTCATTTAGAGCAGATTTAGTAAATAATCAGAAAAAGTGCATTTTCTGCAAAAGTGCTGAATGACTGATGAAATGTGATGAAGGTGAAACTGAGCTGTTAAAAGTTTAAGGGAGAACTCCCTAAAAGATAAAAGTAACAAAAACAACTAGCTAAACGTAGTATAAGATGACAAAAATCAGAGCAAGAGTGCTAAAGCAGATTTCATAGAAAATGTTTTTCAATTAATTGAAGAGATCTTAATGTACAGTAGTCCCTCGCTACTTTGGGGTTCATTTTTCATGGACTCGCACTATCCCAGTTTTTCAAAATAAGATTGGACATGATGGATGAGCCACATGATCAGCATGAAACTTTTTATTTAAAAATAATTATTTTAAATTATTTAGCACCTGCTGCACATTTGTGCAGCCCACACTGCAGGAGAAACTTCCTCCTGCAGCTCCTCCTACCTCCTCTGTGATCTCCATTGTGCATTGGAGAAGTGGGCGTGGCCGAGAGCACAGAGCGCATCCGTGGTAGAGAGCTGAGATCGTGACATGCTGTGCTCTTTTAGAGTGTTTAGAGTTTAGAAACATTGTTTAGAATACTGCACGAGTGTGAGAAGGGTTTAAAGCGACTTTATATTATATATATATAAATACTAAAATAAAACTACTACTGTACTTACTACTTGTACTACTATTCCTACTTTGCGGTTTTTCACTTATCGCAAAGCTTCAGGGTACAGATCCCCCACAATAAATGAAGGACTACTGTATTTCTATGGAAAAAATATCTGCAAATAAAGGAAAATATTTCAAGAAGTATAAATGTTACAAAAGCCAAAATAGTATTCATTTCTTGAATGAGCAGAACTTTCTAAATGAACGGAACGGCTAAATTAAGCAGTAAGTAAGCAGAAGTAGTAAGACTGCAAAAAGCTTACAGAAAAACAATAAATGCTTTTTATAACAACACCTTACAATGAAACAAGAGGATCCTTAAAGAGGAAAGGACTTGTCTTCTGGTAGACGCCCTAATTATGTCTTGAAGTGCCTTAAAATAACATAAATCTGCTGGTGTGTTTACCTGTGTGCAGCCTCTGAGGAAAAGTGCTCGTAAACCAGTGCAGCCTCTGGCTAAGGCCTCAATGCCGTCACGCGTGATCTGGTCACACCAAGACAGGTTCAACATCTCCAGCATTCTGCAGCCATCACTAAGCAATGAGCCACATTTCATGGTGAAGATTAAAAAAGAAAAAGAACAAGCCACCGTTTAGTAAAAAGAAAGCACACAAAGTGTAAGTACTTGGAGAAGAAGGTTTGTTATTAAGAGGCTTCAGTGATTGCCGTACCTGAGGGCCTTGAGGGAGTGGTTGCTAATCGACACACAGGAAGTGAGATCTAACAGTTTGAGCTTGGAGCAGAACTTGCTGAGGCTGAGGCAGGTGCTGTCTGTGATCTTGGTGCAGCCGTTCAGGTTCAGCACTTCGATGTTTCTGCAGTTCTGAGCAAACGTCCTGGGAAACAGATGATTTGTCAGAATCGCTTCAATGAATAAATGAAAGTTAAGATTCCAGGAGAAGCTCGGGAGCCACATGTCCTTGGGGGACTTTTTTATTGCGCATGTTGTTTATACATAAAAGCTTTGACTCACTGAAGAACATCTTGTGCTTCTTTAAAAGTGACTCTTAAAAAAGGAATAAAGGTCTTTTGAATTAAACTAGTTGAAGATAAAGAAGTTTATTGTGTTGTTTTTATTTCAAATGGGTAGAAAATAAACTGAGACTAAAAATAATTTAGAAAAATCCTAGCTAAGTCCCCTGGGAACGAAGAAGCACAATAAACAATCACACAGAGACAAAACACAGCCAGTTAAAAAAAATTTAAAAATAAAAATCAAACTAGAGGATGAGTTTTAGCCAAAGTCATGAAATGTTTATCCTGTGTGTCAGAGACAATAAGAATCTCACTTCATGGAGGCATCGCCGACACTCAGGCAGCCTCTGAGGCTGAGCTGCCTCAGGAAGCCTCCACAACGCTTTGAGATGTTCTCCACCACCCGGCCCTGAGAAACGAGAGAAAAATAAGACCAGGGTGACGAGACGCTGCATCAGCTGAGACGTCACAGTCAACTACTGACCCAGCACAAAGATTCAGGGTGGGTAACGCCACTGAACGAGGAGACTGCAAACCCAGGAGCACTGATTTATCTCTGCTCACCTCTATGTCTGTTTGGAAGTTGAACAGGTCGATCTTCTGCCAGTTGCTGCCATCTAGAGCCAGGACGTTCCACGCCTGAGAGGACACAGAGGAGAGGGTCTGACAGAGGTGGAGGAGGGGGGAAGGTGCTGCTTGTTTCGTGACATGGAGTGAAAACTGTAGATCATTAACCTCTGCATCACAGAGCAGCAATGGAACATATCCCCTGATCGGTTTTTATCTGATAAAACTGTTCGCTTTAGAAAATTAGAATTTGCTCCAACTTTAATACTTAAAAGGTCTCAATAAACGATAATAACAAAAACAAAGAAATAATTGGAGGGATTTTAGCTATACTTAAAACAACGTTGACAATAACAGACAAGAAGGTAACTTAGCTACTTAGATTTGTTATGAATTGATACCAACAAAAAATGTGTTTAATACATGTTAAATATTTATAAAACTGAGTTTTATCTGATCAGTTGGTGTAAATAAACACATTTTTTTAATGTTTTTATTGAAACCAGTATTTCCTAAATATTTATACTCTCTCAATGAATAGTTGCATCAGAATGATTTGGAATCCCATCACTCCCAGTCACGCTGTTTAGAACCACTGATCCTCAGTTAAAATCTTTAGGTTTGGACTTTGCCTCAGGCCTTTGAAATGTTTAAATTGTTGTTAACCATTACTTCTGACTTCGGCTGAATGTTTACAGTCTGCTGAAGGGTCTGACACCAACCCAACAGCAAGTGCAAGTATTTTCCTCCACACTCAATATACTACTACAAAGATGTCCAACAAAAATCAGCAGTTTTCTGGAACCAACATCTCAAATGTTCATTTAGACAAAAAAAGAGAGCACTTGGTTTATCAAATGTAAAGGACATGGCTTTCATTAAGATAAAGACAGAGGAAAAATGGAAAGTTACCGTATTTTTCGGACTATAAGGCGCACCGGATTATAAGGTCATTATTAGGCCTGTCACGATAACAAATTTTGCTGGACAATTAATTGTCTCAGAAATTATTACGATAAACGATAATATTGTTTGAAATTTGACAATAATTAGTAATTATTGTCAAATTGAAGAAGAAATGTTTGTTAATTTCTTTTGATTATAGTATATTTTTCAACCAGCGGATGGCAGTATAAGGCTGTTTGAACCGAAGGATGGATAGTGAGGGAGTGAGCAGCATGTCTCTTTAAGAAAATAAGAGGGAGGCCCCTTGACATGACATGGGCCGTCTCTCCTTCCTTTATTCGGTTCTCAAAATGGCGGACGCTCAGTGTGGTTTGAGCTCTTTAGCATAACATGTTTCACAAAGCTTTTAATAAAATTTTTTAAAAAATCAGTAAACTAGTTCTCAGCTTCTTTTTGCAGAGAAAAACAACTTATTACACAAAGGCACGGGTTACAACTGTGAATTTTGGAGCTTTGACAAAACTGAGAAACTTAAAATAAAAAAAAAAACGTTGCAAATTCAGAATTTGGAAACCATTTAACTATGTACATGAGTGGTTTGAGGCGTTTAATAGATCTTACCTTGGATACCTGGGCACACCTACAGAGAGTGACCACATCTAGATAGGAGAAGATTCTACAGAGAGAAACAGGAAAGGAGATTATCTTAGACACGCAGTCATGATCAAACAGCTACATCATCAGCACTTCTTAAGGTTTAATGACTTTCGCTGCCATCGGAGGGGAAAGGGCGATCATGTTTTTGCTGCTGTGTTCAACAGAACAGATTTTTATTTTTTATCAAGCACTCAGAAAGTAATCACTGGATGCACATCTACAGCAGATTAACTTTTAGAGTCAACCTCATTCAAGATGGCCACCACAGCAAAGCTAACCGAACAAAAAAGAAAATAATAATTTAACAATTTTACAGATATTTAGCTATAATTTGGCATGGTAGTAGCTGAGACTGATCCCCAACTGTTTTAATAAATTTGACATTAACGGTTGAACTCACCGTTATCCGTCTGTTAGTAAAATATCTCATGAAGCACTGGAGAAATTGTATTCAAACGCACAGAAAATAATCAGTGGATGCACATCTACAAGTGACTAACGTTTAGTCAGCCTATTTCAAGATGGCTGCCATAGCCAACTGACTGTAGAAACACAATGGTGGTAACTTGGCCAAGTTTCCAGATATTGAGCTAAAATGAAGTGTGGTAGTAGCTGAGCATCATCCCTAACAATGACTAAGCTCTAAACATTGTACAAAATCTTTGCTTGAAGCTTTGACATTATTTGTTTGGGTCAGCCGAAGCATGGTATGTTAGCAAAATATCTCCTGAACCACAATATATTTGAATAAAACTTCTACAGCTATTGGAGTCAACATAATTCAAGTGGTTCAACACAAATCATTGACACCTGCCATCACAAAAATGCCTGTAACTTTGTCAAATTTAGAGATATTAACCTACAATTTGACATGGTAGTAGTTGAGAGGGGTCAGTCCTGGGTCCCAAACTGTTTATAATTTATGTAAATGATCTATGTATTGTATCTGAAATAATGAAAAGTATACTATTTGCGGATGATACAAGCATTTTTTGTGTTGGAAATGACATGGAACAACTGTTAAAGGATGTAACCGATGAATTGAACAGACTTAAAATGTGTTTTGATGAAAATAAGCTGCCCTTGAACCTAAACAAAGCAAAAATAATGTTATTTGGGAACTGTCAATCACATACAGAAATTCAAATACAAATAGATGGAGTGAAAATTGAAAGAGTTCATGAAAACAAATTTCTTGGTGTCATTAATGATGATAAACTCAACTGGAAACCACACATCAAATATGTTCAAAGTACAGTCTCACGAAATATCAACCTCTTAAACAATGACAAGTCGGTCATAGAACAAAAAACATTACATGTACTCTACTGTTCACTAATCTTACCTTATTTAAGTTGTGCAGAAATCTGGGGCAATAATTACAAAACTACACTACAGGCATTAACAATACTACAGAAAAGAGCAATAAGAATAATCCACAAGGTGGAATATTTAGAAAGCACTAATACATTATTTGTAAAATCTAAATTATTAAAGTTCATTGACACAGTTAAACTACAGAGACAGCTCTAATTCTGTACAAAGTCAAAAATAAACAATTACCGGAAAACATTCAAAACTTATTTAAGACCAAGTAGCAAATGTATACATTAATGGGGAATCACAGTTTAAAATATGCAAATTCAGAACTACTAGAAAAAAGTTTTGTGCATCAGTAAGTGGAGTCAAACTTTGGAATAATTTGAAAACTAAACTTAGACAATGTCCAAACATAAAACTGTTCAAATTATCATATAAACATATAATTATTGCTGGATATAATATATAATATTATTACTCAATTATTGTTGGGGTTTTTGTTATTTGTTATTGATGCTTTAGATTGTTTTTTTTTTTGTTTGTTTGGTTAAGTTAAAGGAATAATAATTGTTCATCTACCATCGTTAACTTAAACGGATATTAATGGGTTAAATATGGGTTTAGTTGTTTTATACATGGAATAAATGTAAGATTATGTATGTGGTCAAGGAGTGGGAATTTTGATAAGTTTATTCTACCCACTCCTTTGAATATGTAAAACAAAAAGTTCTGACATTATGCTTCATGCTGTATTTTTTTGTTTGTTTTTTTACATATTCGATAAAATAATAAACTAAAACTAAACCAACACAAGCTCTGAGCATTAATATCACGCATAATGTAATTTCCAAGGTTTGACCTACACAGCTGTGTCTTTTCATCGTGATATAATAAAAGTTCGTCTTATTTGAAGAGAGGGAGTTTAACAGTCCCTGTGGTGCGTTTGGTGTGTAGCAGAAAAGTCTTTACATTTACGCTGCGTTTCAGCTGAGGGCCGGTTCAGCCACAAAGGGCTGCACACAGCAGGCTACTGGGTCAGCTCAATCCATTAATCTGCCAATGAGTAATCTCTGGCAGTCAGACAGGGCTGGGACAGACACAAACCTACAGAACACGAGGACTCCCATAAGCATGTAGTCAAATCTGTACAGCTCCCTCCTCATTAATCACTAATAAAATGACAGGTTTGCTTTTACAAACTCAAAGCAGCAAACTGTAGAAAATGTAGCTGATGGAGTGTGAATGTCCTTTTGACCCCCCTCTGAACACGAGCTGACCATTGTTTCCTTCACATCGGCGCATGCAAAGTCTGCGTGTTTTGATGTGCTGGGTTGGGGCATGTTGGGACATGTCTGTGTAATGTACACCACAGCCGTGAATTAGCGAGAACATGCAAACACACTTTCCGCACGCGGCCTGAGCAGCTGAACAATCCCACTCATCGATCTCGCTTCTAATAACTGGTTAATGGCCATGATCATCGACAAGACTGTCCGTTTTAATCAAATACAACCCGGCTAGCCATTAAGTGTGTCTGAGAGGCCTTTTACCAGCCTCAGAAATCAGTTAATCACACTCAGAGGAAAGCAAACATTCAATCCGACTGAATGGTTTTGACATTTAATAATCAAAGATAAGACCAGCTCAGAAGTGGATGAAAATATAGACCGTTGTATCGCTGACATGGACTATTTATTTTAATAAAGTGGAAAATGGTAAAAGTACAGCAAAATTCAGAGGCACAGTCTGAGTAATTAAATTATTTTCACATCATTACACACAAGAAAGCAAACGCAGGATACGGTGTCTGGGGGAAACAAAAGCTAATAGCTTCCGACTGCTCCGTCAGATCCTGTCTGAATTCGTCTACTTATTCCAGACGAGATTCGAACGACAAAACGTGCACCTGACCCTTTAAGTGTGGCTAGATGAGAGCGAGTTGAGCTTTCGAACGCAGTCTGGGGCTGGTTGCTACGGCAACAGCTCAGACATCCTTTTGGGTGGTGTCGGTCGAGGAGCGTGCTGAGTCAGTGTTTTTGTTTTGTTTTTCTGCGCAGGGGGACCCTGAACCTCTCTGAGGCTCCCCTGTCAGACAGGGCTCCTCCACATGACGGCTGTTTTTCACAGTTTACATCCAACGCCGCCGCTGGCCCAGATAGCAGCTGTTTATGATGCACCAGCTGAGAGGCAGGCCAGCTCAAAAACAAGCGCAAGCTCGCAGTGACGGATCAGACATAAGCACCGATGCTAAAGGGAATTAATCAAATTAACTGAATATTTTTGGTTTTTTAAATGATGTTCTTAAAGGAGCACAGTAGCCAAAATACACCACAGAATGATGCACTTTCTACCGTTACAAACCCTCACAGTGTTTGCTTGTCATGTTTCTGAGCTGTGAGCAGGAAAAACAAAACCGGGGTTTCTTTTTCACCATTTCACTTTAAATTTGCAGCAAAGCACAAGTTATTCAGATAATCATGTAGTTATTTAAACTAATTTTCATAGATGTAGTGAACCTGATCTGACCCTGATGACCTCAAATCTATCAGATGAACAGAGACTGTTATTTTCATTGATCTGAATAAGTCTGAGCCATCTGATGACTTTCTTTCTTGAATTAATCAAGCAGAAAAGACAATCCTCTATAATCATTACTGTTTTACAAATGTTTGATAATCAAATTGGGTTAGTTCCATTCAATGCTTACAGGTTGAAAAAGAACTACTCATTTTATTTTACATAAACAGTAAGTAATGATTTTTATTCCTCATTCAAAGAAGAAATCAGGTTAATATGCATTTCTTGATTGTCTGTCTTCAATGAGCAAGCTGTCGTAAGTATGTGAAAGTTGAAGCTTCGGTCAACTAAATGTTTACTGAAAATGGGATGTCATGTTTTACTATTTGGAAAGATACAACAGAGTGAGGCTCCAAAAAGTCTGGTATTCTGCAATAATCTTTTCTGTATGTTGAAAACAAATTCATTCCCTGACCTCGACTTTTGATAATACCTTACGTCAAAAACACACCTCTTTCTGGTACATCCACGAATCAGAAAGCTCTAAATTGAACCGGAAGTCGACCCATTTAAAATGTGGCAACTTCCCAGTTCAGGTTAGAATTTGTTAGAATTCATGGAGAATTCATGGAGAATGGTGAAGTGAATTGAAGAGAATTCGAGAATTCAGGAGAGTCAGAGACGTTTGGAATTATAACTTCTGTTTGAACAACCCACGCACGACTATCTAAGGATTTCAGCAGCTCTCAACGGAGACGCTGAAAGGTCTGGAGGATTCTCTATCGAGCTGATCTATCATCAACCAGGTAACGGTCTCTTCTTCGACTAAAGTGTACCGGAGGCGAGCTGAGATCTGATGAAGCGTGCACGTTCTGGTCTACAGATATTAATTCCCTCACATAGTTCTCTGTAAGATAAATCTCCATTTCATCTTAAACTCTTCTCTCTCTCACAAAACCAGTACAGATATTTTAGAAATATCTGAAGCAAAGTCCTCGTTCACCGCCGAGTGATCGATGCTCATTTTCAGTGAAACATTTCTCCTGCTATATTGGTGGACAGAGGATTATTGTTGAGACACAACACCAGCCAGTAATGTTTCTGAACAGCCAACGCATCAGAGATGGTGTGGTGACAAACTCACGCGTTGCAACATGGCTAATGGCACTTCAAAGTTTTAAC